CTTCATCAGCAATCCTCCTCCTCCCCATTATCCTTCTCCTCCTCATCCTCCTCCTTCGACCGATAGCGGCTGCCCCTCTTCGTTCCGACATACCCCTGATCACCTCAACTCGGCTGGGCGTCGTTTCTGGATGGGCTGGTGATCGCGCGCTGGCACCGGTTGCATTTGAAAGGCGTTATCTTCCTCACTTGCAGGTTTGGAACATGATGCCCTTGAAGAGCGCGAGGCAGAAAAGGCCGTTCCAGTGCAACCGCTCTTGGCGCGGGGCCCGGCGGCAAAAAAAAAAAACGCGTCTCGACAGCAGCAGGTTCCAGTTGCTCTTGAAGCGCGCTTGGCTTCTCACCGCCAGGTTGCGCGCCGGGGGCGGCTGCGTTTGACGGGCGGTTTCTTCCTCATTTGCAAAATTGGGCATGCTCCCATCGAGGCGCGCGACGAAGAAAAGGCCACTCAAGTGGAACCGTTCTCGGCCCAGAATCTGGCGACAAGAGACCAAGCCCTTTTCACGAGCATTCTCCTAACGGGCGGTATCTTGCCAGCGTGCCTCCACCTCCCTCCTGCGCCGGCTGCGCCCCTCATCCTCATGCTGCTCATCCACCGCGTGCCCCCCTCAACTTCGCGACGGTTTCTCTCTGAGCCTCCTGTATGGGGTCGGAGGAGATGGGGTCGGAGGATCACGCTGCATAGCCGATGCATCGCCGATGCGTGTCGATGCGGAGCCTGATTTGCGTCGCGCCGACGTCGCCGATGCACCGCCGGCGTCTTTGATGCATCGCTTGTGCATCGCCGATGTTTCGCCGATGTATCGGCGATGCGGCGAGATCCTCCGACCCATCTACTCGGGCCCATCTAGGAGGTGTCTATGCTCCGCCGCCGCAGTCCCCCTCTGCGCGTTACAGCGCTGGTCGCCGCGCTGGCCCCCGACGCCGTCTACGCCTGGCACACGCCAGCGCGACTGCGCGCCAAATCTGGCTTTCGCAACCACGAGATCGCGGGCTCGATATCGAAAACATGCATCACCTGGGTAATTCAAGCCATCATATGTAATTCGCACCAGTCCTTGAGGGCGTGATTGGTTGACAACGTTTCCCTTTCACCACCGCCCCTTTCCCCTCCTCCTCCTCCTCCCCCCCCTCCTCCTCCTCCTCCTCCCCCCCCTCCTCCTCTTCCTCCTCCTCCTCCTCCTGGCGCAGTCTCCTGGTGGTGGTCGCCAGTGTTCGCAGGGCAGACCCATCCTCCTCACCCTCCTCCTCCTCCTCCTCCTCCTCCTTCCCCTCCTTCCCCTTCTCCCCCTTCTCCTCCTCCTCCTCCTCCTCCTCTCCATCCTCCTCCTCTTCCTCCTCCTCCTCCTCCTTCTCCTCCTCCTCCTCCCTCTACTCCTTCTACTCCCTCCCTTCTTCGATGTGTCGGGCCGGACGAATGGAAGGGATTGGGAACAAGGGGGTGCGAAATCTGTCGCACGCAGCTGGCCCCACTGAAGGGCCCACCCGTCGATGCATAGCCGCCTCTGGCGCCGGGGGGCGCCGGGAAAATCAGCTACGCGAGCTGATTCTCAAGACCCCCTTTCGCTATGCCTTTTGCTATCCCCCCCTTTTCGACCAACCCGACTTTGCCGCGTGGGGCGGACGGCGCGCCTTGCCTTTCGGCCTCTTCCCCTATCCTTCGTCCGCCGCCAATATCCCCCCCCTCCTCCTCCCCCTCCTTCTCCTCTTACCCCTCCCCCTCCCCCTCCTCCTCCTTTTCCTCATCCTCCCCTCCCCGTCATCCTTAATCCCTCCTCCTTTCCTCCTTTACTCCCTCCTTCTCCGTTCCTCATCCCCTCCTGTTTTTCCTTTTACTTCAACGCTGGCCGCCGCCGCTCTCTCTTCCAGGGACCGGGCGGGCGGCCAGGTCGTCTCCCTGGTTGCTGGGCGCCCTGTTCGTGCACCTGCGCGTCCTTTGAGCGATGCGCGATCCCCCAGAGCGTGGCGCCTTGGGCCTGGCCAGACGCGCGGATGTCAAACAATTGTCGTCCTCCTCCGTTTTCTTTCCTCCTCCTCCTCCTCCTCCTCCTCCTCCTTCTCCTCATCCCCCTCCTCCTCCTCTCCCCCCCTGCCCCCCTTTGCCCCGTGCTCCTGCCCCCCCCATCCTTGGAGATGAGGAACAAAACGCGTCTCAAATGCAACCTCCCGTTTGCTGGGCCAGAACCGCCAAATGATATCGCTTGCACCTTCGCCCCCCTCCTGTGCCCACCCCCCTGCCCCCCTGCGCCCCCCCCCCCCCGCGCCAAGCCTCCGAGGTCGCGGAGGAGGCCGCTGTGGTCGTCCAGGGCGGCCGCGCCGCGCGCCGCCGCGCGGCGCGGGCCGTGCGGCGGCGGCGGCGGCGGCGCGTCGTTGGCGGCGGCCGCGGCAGCAGCGGCGGCCACCACGACGCGACCGCGAGCAAGCGTTGTCCCCTCCGGCCTCCAGGGGCCTTCAATAATTTCGGTGGCTTCCGGGGGCCTGGATCCGGGGGGGGGACAACGCTTGCCGAGCGTCGTCGTCGTCCCCAGAGATCCGTGCCCGACGGGCCCCGCAGGCCAAAATCCAAGAAAAAGCGCCTGATTGAAAACATCACATCCTCGGATCTCTCGGTCGTCGTGGTCGTCGTCGTCGTTTTCGACCCGCGGGCCCAAAGGTCCCGCCCCTTCACCGGGAGTTGTTTTTCGCCCCTGAACCCTTTTCAATGGCCCCCAGGCCCGACGAGGGCCCCGCTGACGAAATCCAAGACAAAAACCGCCGGACTGAAAAAAACACCATCTCGGATCGTGGGTTCGTCGTCGTCGTCAACGTCTTTCAATCCGCGGCCCAGAGGTCCCGCCCTTCCCCCCGAATGTTTTCGCGCGGAAGCCCCTTTCGATGGCCTCGGGCCCGACGACGGGCCCCGCGTGCCGAAATTGGAAAAAAAAGCACGTCCTCGGATTTCTGGGCTGTCGCGATCGTCTCCCCAGGAGTGGTTTTTCGCCCTGGAGCCATTTTCGATGGCCCCTGGGCCCGACGACGGGCTTCGAAGTCCAAAACTCAGAAGAAACAAAAAAATATGGAAAACACACACATCCTCGGATCTCTGGGTCGTCGCGTCCTCCTTCCTCCTCCTCCTCTTCCTCCTCTTCCTCCTGCTCCTCCTCCTCCTCCTCCCCTCCTCCTCCTGTTTCTTCTCCTCGTAGTCGTCTTCTTTTTTCTTATTGTTCTTCTGATTTTTTTCTTCTTCCTCCTCCTCCTCCTCCTCCTCCTCCTCCCATCTCTCCTCCTCCTTCTCCTCCTCCTCCTCCTCCTCCTCCTCCTTCTCGTCCTCCTCCTCCCTCCTCCTCTACCTCCTCCTCCTCCCCTCCTCTCCTCCTCCTCCCCCTCCCTCCTCCTCCATCCTCCTCCTCCTCCTCCTCCTCCACCTCCTCCTCCTCCTCTGTCTCCTCCTCCTCTTCCTCCTCCTCCTCCTCCTGCTCCCCGTCCTCCTCCTCCTCCTCCTCCTCCTCTTTCCCCTCCTCGCCCCCTCGTCCACCTCCTGTTTCTCCTCCTCGTCGTCGTCGTTGTCGTCGGTTGTCGTCCGCTGCCGTCCGTCGTCCGTCCGTCCGTCCGTCCGTCCGTCGTCGTCCGTCGTCCACGTCGTCTATCATCGTCGTCGTCCTTCGTCGTCGTCGTCCGCCATCGTCGTCGTCCGTCGTCGTCGTCGTCCACCGTCGTCGTCGTCCGTCGCTGTCCGTTGTCGTCGTCGTCGTCGTCGTCCGTCGTCGCCCGTTCGTCGTCGCTGTCGCCCGTCGTCGTCGCCCGTCGTCGTCGTCGTCGTCGTCGTCGTCGTCCGTCGTCGTCGTCGTCGTCCATCATCGTCGTCGTCGTCGCCCCTCTTTGCATTCGTCGTCGTCGTTGTCGTCCTCGCCGTCGTCGTCATCCGCCGTCGTCGTCCGTCCTCGTCGCCCGTCGTCGTCGTCCGTCGTCGTCGTCGTCGTTGTCGTCGTCGTCCGTTGTCGTCGTTGTCGTCGTCGTCCGTCGTCGTCGTCGTCGTCGTCGGGCGTCATTGTCGTCGTCCGCGGTCGTGGTCGTCTGTAATCATCGGTGTCCGTCTGTGGTCATCGGTGTCCGTCGTCGTTGTCGGTGTCCGTCGCGTCGTTCGCCCGTGGTCGTGGTCGTCGGTGTCCGTCGTCGTCGTCGTCGTCGGCGTCCGCCGTCGTCGTCGACGTCGTCGTCGTCGTCTTCTCCGCCTCCTCCTCCTCCTCTTCCGTTTCTTCCTCCTTCTCCTCCTCCTCGTTTTTCTCCTGGCTGACATGCTTTTGCCCACGGCCGTCGAGGATCGAGGCAGGGCGTTTTCGGGCGTTTTCGGTGAACTTTGGCCGTCGTCGGCTTCCTGGAGCCCAGGGGCCTACTGGGGCTTCGCGGGGGGCGCTGCCTGGCTAGCCCCGACATTGCCCTGGCGCGGCTCCCATGCCGCGCCTTTGCGCACAACGAGTTTGGAGAATTTGTCGCCCCCTGGCTCCCAGCAGCTCCCTCTAAACAACGGCCAGTCGAATCCCCACCGACTCACCGCACGGTGTGGTCACCACACCGTTTGGGGGCCCCGGAAACGGCAGGGCCGTTTTTTCACCGTTTCCAAAAAAAGTGCCCCTTAAACATGGAAGCGGCAACAAAAACGGCGACCGGAAACGGCAAAAAAACGGCTCCAGGATTGGAACCGGAGCCGGAACCAGTCAAAAAACGGCGACGGAACCGGCAACGAAAACGGCGTCGGAACCGGCAACAAAAACGGCAGAACGGAACCGGTAAACAAACGGCCCGGTCGTTTCCAGGGCCCACTAAGTAAAACAGGGCTAGGATCGGGATAAATCGCTCCAGAGCGTTCCGGAGCGCTCTCAGAGCGTTCCGGAGCGCTCTGGGAGCGGCCGCGGCGCCCAATGTACATCCTCCAAACCCGCCGATTCTCAGAGATTTCGAGCTATCCCGATCCGATTCTGTCCCGATCTTCGCGTTCGGGGGCCCCCGAATGATTTTTGCTCCATGCGCGGCCCCCGGAGAGGTCTTATGCCTCCCGGCTCCGCTCTCGGAGGCTCCCCGCGGGGCCCGACCTCGGGCACCGCGGAGGCCGAAGGCGACGAGGAGCAGACGCCGGGGTTGGCCAACCGGGCCCCGCTGGGCCGTCGCTCGGCCGTCCATGTCTTGTGTTTTTTTTCCGGTTTCGTGCGCGGTTTTTTCGCCAGGTGATCAGGGATGCTCCTCGATGGTCCTCGCCGAAGGGAAGATGCACACGTCCGAGCGATGCCAAGCCCGAGGGGCCCAGGTCGAGGACAGGCGGCGGGCCGCGCGGAGCTCCTCCCGTCGGAGCTCTGAGGGCTCCTCCCCCTGCGCTGCGGGCCTTGCGCTGCCCCGACGGGCTGGCGCCCCCTCCAAGCCCCGCCGGCGCGCAGGAGGGAGCCGCGCGCGGCGCGCGGCGCGGCCCGAGCCATCGGGGGCGGTGGACAAACCTCCCTTTAGTAGACCTCCCCTTAATGAAAACGGCCTGGGACCGAAACCGACGGACCTGGACCCGCAAAAATGACGGCCGCGACGCCCTCTCGCGAACCGAAAACGGCCAATTCACTCATCGACGTGTCACTGTTGGGGGTTCTGTCCACCCCCGAATCGGGGGCACTGGGAACTGGCACCACAGCACCAGCGCAGGGCTGAACCTAAATGGTGTTTCTCATGTTCGTTTGGTTTTCGTGTTCCCTCGCTGTTGTCTCGAAAATCCACCTTTGCGCGCAAAGCGAAGTCAAAACGAAAACGGCCCACGAGATCACCAAAAACACCGCTTAGGCCCAGCCCTGCACCAGCGCTGGGGGAGGTGCTTCCACCGACGAGGGAAGACAATGCTGGAGTTTGGTGCTGGTGGTCATCTCGGCAGCCTGAAGCCCAAGTGCTACCGTTGGGACTGTGTGGGCGCCGGGCGACCAGTGACAACGGCAGAGGACAGACCGCAGAGGCAAGGGCACAAGGGCACCCTAGACGAAGGCGCGCGTCCTTACTATGCGCGTTGACTGTACCACCATCACTAGAGGCCTCCACACTGGGGTCCGAGTGGTCGAAGAATCGCGCCGCATCGCCGATGCATTGCCGATGCATCGGCGATGCGTCGGACACGCGGGCGATGCATCGGCGACGTCGGCGTGGAGAAAATTTGACTTCAAATCGAGCCGCATCGGCGATGCATCGGCGATGCGGCTCGATACTCCGACCCTATCTACTCGGACCCATTGGGAGGCCTGAAATTACAATATCATCTTGCGCGGGCAAAAGGTATGTACAGATCCACTGCGTCTTGGACTTTCCGGGAAGGGGCGCCAAAAGGCCGAGGCGCAATGGATATGGATAACAATATGGCCTCTAGGGGCCGGACTCTCATCCACACCCACTGCGCCTCGGGTGTGTGGGGATGGGAAGCCCACAAATCCAAGATCCAATGCACATGGATGCACATTTAGAGGCCTCCTAGATGGGGTCGGCGTAGATGGGGTCGAAGGATCGCGCCGCATCGCCGATGCATCGGCGACGTCGGCGATGCATCGACAACGTCGGCGTTGAGAAGAATCTGACTCCACATATCGGCGATGCGGCGCGATCCTCCGACCCCATCCACTCCGACCCCCTCCAGGTTAGGAGGCCTGGATGGATGCACATCTTGCCCGCAACTTCCCTCGGTGGAGGCGGCCGCCGATACTGGTGCCGTCGTTCACCCCTGGGCCTCCGAGCATGCGTGCGGCCACCCGCAGGAAAAACAACAAAAAACGGGGCGCGCCGAGACGGAGCGGCGCCGCCGCACATAGGCGGCGGCGGCAGCCCGCCCTGGCGGGAGCGAGAAAATCGTCGCAAACCCCCCCGCCTCCCGGAGACGAAGCCAGGAATGAACGGGCGAATGAAGCCGCGCGTCCGTAGGCACACGAGCCATGGCACGGGCGCGCGCTGGACAATATCATGGCGCACTGCTGCTTCCCAGGTTTCCGCCCGCAACGTGCCCAAATGCGAGGAATTTCACCCAGAATCGCGACTAACTTGCAGAGCATGCGCAGACAAGCCTGCTGCCCACGTCTGCCAGGGCTTGCTCCTCCTGCGGCGGCCGAGCGCCTGCGCCAGCTCGGAAGAACCAAGTACAGGGTCAAACTCGGACCAAGATAGATCGGGGTTCTCTGAGAGATCCTGCGGCTTGGGAGGGCGTATCGGCCGCTGCGGCCATTCCAGGGCGCTCCGGGGCGCACCGAGAACGTTCCAGAACGCCCTGGAACGATTTGTCCCGGTCCTGGGCCCGTCCGACCCTCCCGGGGCCGCGTCGAAGGCTCGAGGATCAAATGTTCGAAGCTTCGTGCTTCTACGTTTTCCTGACCGTCCTGTGGTGTTGGGCCCCCGTTTTGAATCAACAACGCCCAGCGTCACTCACTCCCTCACGCTTCCCCCTTCCTCCTCCAAGCCCTGGCTCTGCTCCACGCGTCACCAATTCGGCACTCCCTCACACGGTTTGTGGTCCCACAGAGGGCTCCACCCCTGTGGAAGGGTCTGCATGGCGCACACGCTCCAAATTCGGCTCACTCCTCACACGCTTCGTGGCCTCATAGGGAGGTCCCACCTGCCTCGCGGTATCCACCACACCTCTGCACATTGTTTCTCCCCCCCCACAACCCCAGCTTTAGGTGTGCCCACGTTTGTTTGTCCGTGCCAGCGCTGAGCTGGTCCCCAAAAGGTGATATCTCCGATATCAGTGGGGGCTACCAGCGGCCACGAGCACGAGAGGGACTCCACTTCTGCACATGGTTGGGTCCTTCACCAGACCAGCACGTTCGTCTTTCCGGGGCCTCCGTAAAAGGGGCTCCTAGTCGTCACGGCCAGACCCGCTTCGAACCCCCTGCGGGGCCAATCGCGAGGTGTCAAGGCGTCCAAGACGGCCTCGGCGAGGAAACCAAACTCATCGGTTGTCTTACAAGTTTTGGCCCCATTTTGGCCTCTTGGCGGGGCAACCATAATTAAGGCTCCCCTCTTGTTTGATCGATGTCCTCCAAAATGGGCCCAAGAGCACTCTCAAGTCTCCCAAGAGCGATTCCAGAAGGCTCCAAGAGGCGCCCAGGAGGCCCCAGGAGGCCACAAGAGGCGCCCAACAGGCCTCCAAGAGGCTCCCAAGAGTCCCCTAAGAGGCCCCAAGAAGCTCCCCGAAGCACCCGAACGCCCCAAGAGGCCTCCGGGACGTCAAGAGGCACCCACGACGCTCCAGGAGGCCTCCACTGAAGGACCCTTCCTCTGCGTGCTGCGCAGTTCCCTGATCGAGGCAACTCCTCTGGGCATCGTCTCTGGACTAGGGGACCACATGCGAACCCACCCCTACCCCCCACGATTTCTGAGGGGGAGGGTGCGTTTCACTTCGTTACGCGAAGCGTCTAGAATTTGAAATACAAACCCCCATAGTGCGACGTTTCCTGGGGACACCAACATGGTGTGCTTCAACATCCAAATATGGTGATGGGATCTTTGGGTTGCCACCAAGGGCGGTGGGATCAGCTCTGACGACGTCCCCGTTGCCGTGCTGACTCAATGCTTCATCAGAGCACGTTTGCGCTGCGTTGCGTTGTATGACGAAGTCGCCAAGCTTCTGCCTTGAAGAGGACGTCCACGCCAAATGAAGGCGCCTCTACCAATCATGGGCGGCGCGGTTCCCATGGAATCCTGAAACCCCCAAGCTGGGCACATGGCTGGATAGCAAATGGAAGCAAGGCTTGGGCGTCGGCTGCTCGGTCTGCGGGGCCGCTGGCTTCGAGACCCACTTTGTAAAGTACCAGGCTACGGCGGCACGTGCCCTACAACTGGTAGATTTCGCGAAGCACGCACGGAACCGCAATCACACGGCTGCCGCGGCCACGGTTGCTTCTGAAAAGGTGAAGATTGAGGAAGCAACCGCATCACTCAACCGTCCACCTCTGGATGAATCTAAGCGGGTTGGAACTTCCCTTGTTGAAAGGAACGGTATTCTAGGCGGCCCCACCTCAGTAGCACAGGGACTCATTTGGTGCCTGAAAAAGGCACTGGCCACGGAAAACAAATATGTTTTGACATCATCATGTGCGATCTCTTTGTTTCGGGGCCAGCAGAACGCTCGGTTGTCCGTGATATACAGGGCTGTAAATCGGGACGTGGTTGAATTCAGCAGCACTCTTGGCCAAACGCGACGCTCCGAGACTGGTGCCAGTAAGATTGCCGACGCTACCGGGCACGTCATGGATCAACAGTGCACAAAGCGTCCTCTCGCATGGCAGTCGAGACTAATCTGGCAGCACGGATGATCTTTTCGCGAGCGAGGTGGTGCAAAACAACATGCGTTCGCAGAGACAGCTGGCTAGCAGGTCAAACCTGAAGTTAGGTTTGCGTGATGCAATACACGCCTCTTGGCGCATCAATGCAGATCCACGCGTGAGACAGGTACCGTTAATGATGGCACAGGGCCGCGCTTCGGTCGCCAAGCTCGCCCAGAACACCAATGAAACCAGGCGTGTGTTCAAAGGGTTCGCCGCCAATGCACCAAACGCCGTGACGCGGTCCCCTGTGACAAACATGCGAGGCGCAGGACATCGCTTTGAAACATGGCAGAACTCCCTTGGCCGCGCCGTGCTCCACATGCATGCGTGTCTCAAGACAGCTCTGTACGCGGCACACCGCCCGGCCAAGGATGACACCGCCGACAGGGCCAAGGCGTGGCTCAAATGGGCAAACAGCGAGCGACGCTCACTGCTTGCGATGATGGCGGGAATTGCCGACGAGGGGATGTGCTTGGCTTGAAGAGATTGCTGAATAGTGAAGACGTGGATGCCGCCGTTTTCAATCAAGAGGGCTTAAAAGATTGGTGCACTGTTTGGTGGACTGCGCCAGTGCCAGACATTTTCGGTTACGCGTCGGTCATGGGTTTCCCGACGGGACACGTGGTCTCCAGTGGGGCGCGCGCCAATTCCCTCGCAGGCATTCAATGTGTTTGACTTGTCCACCGCGAACCCCGAGGCTACATGTCACTTGCAGCGGTTAGCTCGACCATTGAATCAACGGGCTGCCCGCAGTCTACCGCCCATCCTACCACCCACCCCGACAGATATTATACTGCGTATTAGCCGGATATCAATCTGGCTGATCTGGCTGCCCAATGGAATGATGTATTCCCAAGGGTTCGCGTTCAATCAACCATGGTTTTTTCGAGCACTGGGCGCTTGCGATGGACCGACCGTCGAAAACTCTAACCCTGGCGGCGTCGCGCCCCATTGAGGCCTTGAGAACACCTCTGGTTGCAAATTTTGCTCTGGGAATCCGCACTTCTGGCGTTGAGCAAGAGTTCGGCTTGTCTGCGCTGAAGTTTAGACATCGGTAAATGATGGCAAGGGCAGATGAAGAGGACGCGTTTCTCAAGGCATGTCTAGACTATCCCGAGCGCGACTCTGACAACACGGCTGTGAAGGCTCGCGAAATTTGAACGCAATGCTTCCCGAGACCCAGAGATCGCCGATCTGGCAATGTCGCTGGGAGCATTGACAAACGCTGCTTCGGCGACATCGGCCGCAGACTCGGCCAGGCAGGACATTGGGCTGGGATCGAACTGGGGTGGCAGCCATCAAAAGGAGCTTTGCGTTCTTGCAAGCAAAACCAAGACGATGAACGATGCCTCGCGCTCGCAGAGCACAGCCTCCCACCGCGCGAAATGACGCATGCTGTTCGGCGAGGCGCCGCTTCCGAGCTCAAGAAGCAGCTCGGAGATCCGTTAGCTAGGGCGCGCAAGCTCGATCGCGCGCGAGTGGGCACGCAGGGCGCGCCAGCGTCCAAATCCGAAGATGACATCCGGAACGCGCGCGTTTTGGTTGATATACCTTGCAGATCGCCAAGTGTGGGCCGCGCGCCCAATGGTCGCGCGAGGCGGAAGTTTTTGTCGCGCAGTCGCCAGGGCAGGCTGGCCCGAGCACGTCCGCGGCGTCGGCGATCAGGGGGGGGGGCATGAAATTACCCCTGGGCTGTTGATGAATGGTCGTCTGGGCGCTGGGGTCAAGAAAGTGCCCACGTACCCATGACAAACAATGATGTTTATGGGCGCTGAGTTCAGGAGGTGCGCAAGGTCACTTTTGCGAGTTTGCACGGGGCGTCACCATGGCAACAGGTTGCAAGTGGAGGTTTGGCGGGTTCAACTGACCAGCGCAGAAGAAGGTGCACGCGTCGGCAAATCTTTTCGCCATAGCCATGCCGGCGGAGATGACGAAAACACCCTTTGCGGGCCAGCGCAAAACATTCACGGTCGATTCGCTCGAGACCAGGAATGCCTGCGCCGACGTGTCCAAGGCTGTGGCGGGGTCCGCGATGACGCTGCATCATAGCAACCATCGCAAGCATCCGCATCAAACAGCATGAGTTAGAGTGGGCATAATTGCGAGTGAAGATGCAAGAGCGGGCGATGTTTGAGTGGGCCTGTTTTGAGTTGGCCTGACTGCGAGTTCGAGTGGGTATGATTGCGAGTGCTTGCGGGCGCGGTATATAGCTATTTTTGGCTCAGGCTACAAGCGCATCAACGCGCGCTGACACGCGCGCCAACTCCCGCCCGTCACGCAGGCTGCAATGCCCGGGCGGCCACGCGGATCTCGACCAAGAGACCATCGTGCATGAGATCCGCGTGGAAGCGGCGGTAGATCTGCGCTCATCGTCGGAGTGCACGAACATCCTGGTGAACGACGACACGTTCAAGCATCGCGTCGACAAGGACTTCAGCGACCTGACTATAATCGCGGCCGCCTGCCTGGGCGCCAACAACCGCGCCGAAATGCTGGTCGAGTTGGCCGGGGAGCTCGAGCGGGCTCACCGCGCGCGGCGGGCGGCCGAATGGGAGCAGGTGGAGGGGCTCAGGATGGCGACGAGGGACAAGCGGGCATCGCTCGTCGCCGAGACTCGCCGAGCCAGCGAACGCAGCCGCTCGCCGCCCAGGCGCCGCGCATCTCCCGCGGAGAACACGAGCCCAGGCTCACTCCACCCGCTTTCCCAAAACGGAGTCGCCGCGTTTTCCGACGCCGACAGCCGAGAGACGCCGCCGTTGAGGGGGTCGGCTGTCTCGGCCGAGGGCAGCATGGCGAAGTAGGGGCGTGGGATTCCATTGGCTGCATCGGCTGCGTGGAGCGCGTGAGAAAATCAAATCAACATCCTTCCTCCTCCTCGTCTTCCCCCGCCCCCCCTTCCGCCGCCCCCCCCCCCTCCGCCATCTCGACCGTCGGCCCCCGCCCCAGCCCCCCCCCCCCCCGCGAGCCGACGACGATCGATCCACGATGGGCGGCGCCCCGCTAATCCCCCGAGCGTCGGAGCACCCGCGAGAGATGGCCCAAGAGGATTCGACGACGCCATCGCCGCTCAAACCGCTATCCCGACTTCAACAGCGCAGCGGCCAACGCCGCGGCAAATCCCGCGGCGGCTGGAGGGTCATGCGACGACGGCGGCAGCGCAATCTACGCTCTGGCACTGGCCATCCTCTCCGGTGGCGCGGTCCGGAGCGCAGTTGCGACATGGCCTCAGGAGCGGCTGCGCCCGCGACGTTCGGCGCCGACGCCGACGCCGACGACGCCGACGCCGACGGCAACAGAACCGGCGCCGACGCCTACGCCACCGGCGCCGACCCCCAAGCCGCAGACGCGAACGATAGCCACAAAAAGCCAGTCGACCGCCTACACAGGGCAGTGGTAGCATCTTAGGTTCGCGCCGCCCCCGGGGGACGAGCGCGGCATTTGGGCTCCGCGCCGCGGCTGATCCACGGCGCGGCATCGGCTGTTTCGGCCGTAACTTGCAAAGATAAAATGGGCATCGCAGACTCGCTCTTCGTTGCCTCATTCCTCCTTCTCCACGCCCCCATTCGACCATTCCCCCTGACGCCCCCCCATCTCCCCCTCTTCCCTGGCGGCCCCGACGCGCGGCCGAAGCAGCCGATGGGGGCGCGGCCAGAGTAGCCAATTTGCCGCGGGGGGGCGACGGCGAAGAAGACGACGACGGCGGCAGCGGCGGCGGGGGCGGCGGCGGCACCCCTGTTGGCCGAACCAGCCGTCGGGAGCGCCCACGAATCACCCGTGAAGTTCGCGCTGGCCCCCCGAGCGTTTCACTTGCGTTTGGCGCTGGCGCGCGTTTACGCAGTCAGAGTGCGACGGGCTGGTTAGAAGCGCGCGCGTCCATGATCATCGCAACACCACTGGCCAGGGGCGCTATGGCATTCGATTAACATTGCGACACTGCGTCGATGCTCAACGCAACCATAGCACGAGTGCGATATTGCTGCTACCCGGTTGATACCATATATGACAGTGTGTATGCACTCGGGCGCGCGATCCAAGGGCAATGCAATCGCTCGGGGCCTCGAAGCAGATTGCTCGGGGGGTCGCCGCGCCCGAGCGAACGCCGCGCGTCGCAATTGGACGACTCGCAGCGCGACTCGTGATGCCTGCGATCGTCCAGCCACGCCGCCTAAGCCTAGGGGAACGCCCCGAGCACCCCAACGAACTGCAATAACTTCCAAGAGAAACCATGTTGTATTTTTCTAACTCCCCCAGAAACAATGCCACCACACACACACAAAACAAAACACGGAACACCAACAGAACGAGGATGGCCCAAGAGCGGGCGTCGCACTTCTTGGGGCCAGGCAGCGGCAGCGCTGTTCCAGGCGCTGGAGCGGGCGGGGGGGCTCAGGACTCGAACGGCCGTGCGCCGCAAGTTTTTGCGGTCGCATCAATTCTAATAGGGTTCATCGGCTCGCGGCGCGGGCCTCGTTCCACGGCCGACGTCTGCCCCCCGGTCGCGATGGCCGTCGCGGGAAACACAAGAATGCGAGCGCGCGTTGCGGCGCGGAGTGGCGAGTCGCGCGGAGGATTGCGGCGTCGGGAAACTTCGGCCGAAAGCGGCGCAGCATCGCGGCATATTCCCCACTTATTCCCCACTGCGCATTGCAAGAGAAGCCGCGGGGACATCGCAATCGCGGGGCGCGTTGCGGGCGGGCCACGAAGGCGATCTCGCCCACCCCAGAACGCAGCATGGACGCGCGCAGCGGGAACTGAACGCACGCAACTCCGACTGGATAATTCACTGTAGGGCAGCCGCCCGCGTCAGAAATAACTGCATGGGTTGGCGAGAACGCCTCCTTGAGGCGATACCTCCTGTGCGCATTTCGTGTAGGGAATGCCCGCCAGCCGTCCAATGGCGCAAAGCATTATCGGGACAGGTTTGCCAGAGGTCAACACCCCAACTCGAAAGTTAACCCGACCTTTTGCCTTGACGAGCGTCTCTCCGCTGTGGCCTCTTTTCACCTTAATGCTCACTTGGTCGTTTGCGGCTTGTGGAAAACATGTTCCGTCCCATCCTGCGGCTGTTTGCGCAATCTGCGGATCGATTCACTCCGCTGGCCTGGTGGCCCATACCGACCGAGGTCCCCGCATTAATGTTTGATTGCATGTACACGAGTGGATATGCTGCTCTCACACCGGCCCCATGGGGGGTATTCTGCCTTCCCCAGAGGCCCGCTGCAGCCTCCCAGCCACCGCGTGTTTCTTTGTTTTTCTGTTTTTCTCTCACTCTGGAGGGGATGAGAGGAAAAAGGCGGAAGGGGCTTCGGACACCGTGCTCACAAATACATTTGAAGAACGCGTGCGGGCACGTGAATGTACGCCGGACAATTCGGCGTGCTGACCACACCAGAAGGATCATCAACCAGAGCGTGGAGCACGCACGTTCCGCATTGTGATGGGGCGCGTTCGCATACGACCCCGGCTTGTTCCCATGCGAGTACCTATCGCACCACACAAACTCAGGACTTTAAAGATGAGACTTCCAAGCGGTCGTTGATCACCGAACTCTGAGGGTCGCCTCTGCCTTGAAGATGGGCTTAGGAGCCCTGAAGCCTGTAGCGTACTTGGCAGTCCTCCTCCTCCTCCTCCTCCTCCTCCTACCCCTCCTCGTCCTCGTCCTCCTCCTCCTCCTCCTCCTCCTCCTCCTCCCTCCTCATCCCCCTTCCCTCCCCCTCCCCCTCCCCCCCCCCCCTCCCCTCCCCTCCCCGCCCCTCCCATTCTCTCATCTCCTCTTCCCTCCTCCTCCTCCTCCTCCTCCTCCTCCTCCTCGTCCTCCTCCTCCTCCTCGTCTTCTTCCTTATGATTATTCTCCTCCTCGTCCTCCTCCTCATCCTGTTCCTTCTCCCTCATCTGGTTCCTCCTCCTCCTCCTCGTCCTCCTACTCCTCCTCCTCCTCCACCTCACCCTCCTCTTGTCCTTCGCCTCTCCTACTCCTCCTCCTCCTCCTCTCCTCCTCCTCCTCCTCCTCCTTCTTCTTCTTTGTTTCTCCTCCTCCTCCTCCTCCTCCTCCTCCTCCTCCTCCTCCTCCTCCGCATCTCCGCATCCCCCCCCGATCCCACTCACCCCAAGGGGGCAAGCGATTGAAATGGCCTGCCCCTGCCCCGCCGGGCCCCGGTGGCACGGCGGGCCCGGGGGCAGCCCGCGACAGCGGCGCCTCAGGACCGCCGCTTGCCCTTCTGCTGCCTCATCTCTTTCCGCTTCATCGCGCGCGACTTTGGCTTGTTCGACACGCGCACCTCTGGCAGCGGACGGCACCAGGGACCCGCCATGGGAGGGGGCTGGGCGGCGGGTGGCCGCCTTCCTCCTAACTCATTCCCCCCCTCTCCTGCTGCTGCTGCTGCTGCTGCTGCTGATGCTGCTGCCTCATTTCCATGCCCATGCTCATGCTCATGCTCCTCCTCCTCCACCTGTTCCTTGCGCCGACGTAGGCAAGCGTGAGCCGTCGCGTCTTTATTCCTCCTCCTCCTCCTCCTCCTCGTCCTCCTCCTCCTCGTCCTCCTCCTCCTCTTCCTCCTCCTCCACATTGCCACTCCCTCCCCCCCTCGTCTCAGCCACTTCGCGCCGAGCCCGCCTTTGGCCTGCAGAGAGGCGGAGCGCGGCGTCAGCGGGCGCCAACTTCGAAGTGGCACTGCGCTCGCGAGCTGAATGAGCGCCCACACCCGTACGCGCCATGGGTGGACCTGCGCAGCATGCAAGGTCAAGAACGGGGCTGGCTCTGACTACTGGAAGTGCTGGGGCACCAAGGGCGGCGCGAAGCCCACTGGTGGAGGCAGCAGCAGTGGGCACACCAAGCTCAGAGGACACCTCCAGGAGTTGCGGAACCAAGCTGAGGACCAAGACCTTGGCCCCGTGGTGGCGGGGAACATCGCCGTGCTGCAGCAGCAGGCGGACCCGTTGCAGGAGACTGTCCACGCGGACATCGAAGTGCTGCGCTGCTTTTCAGAATGCAAAGTGGTTCGGGAAAGGAACAAGCGCGAGAACATGCGCGACCGCGCCAAGGAGCGCGTCGAGAAGCAGGAGAAGGAGATCATCGAAGCTCAGGAGAGGCTGGGCAAGCTCTGGCATGAGGAGAGGCTGGGCAACCTCCAGCATGAGGAGAAGACAGGGCTACCCTGGCCAAGCATGAGGAGAGGCGGGGCAAGCTCCAGCAGCGTATCAACGAGCTCAGCGTACCAAAGCCTGGGCAAGGATGGGGAGCAGTGATCGCCTTCCTCGAGCAGGCCGCCAAGTGCCTGCGCGACAAGGGCGCCGACCCCAAGCTCCAGGAAGGCTGAGGAGGAGCGCGCAGCGAAGGAGGCGGAGGAGGCTGAGCAATAGCAGCTGCAGCGGCAGCCAAGGCCAAAGCCGACGCGCAGCCCGACAGCAAATACCAACGGTCTAAGCGAATGGCCGTCACGGAGATCAAGGAGGAGTTGCTCGAGTTCCCGCAGGGGGCCAGCGAGAAGGACATGCGTGAGATCAGGGAGAAAGGGGGCTGCGCCGCCGAGCAGATGGACAGGCGCGCGCCTCTTGTACTTCCTCTGCTGGCTGCTCTGCCCCCTGGCCACACCCTCGACATTAACAAGGGGACATGGACAGCACCGCCACGCTCCTGACGAGCGAAAGGGCGGGCAGGAGTTCTACACAGTGAATGCGAACTCCATCGGCACGCTCGAGAGGGCGCTCAATCATGTCAGATGCACCAGCGCCTGCGTACTATCTCCTGTTTCACCAAGCGCATGCAGAAGGCGGGCTGGCGCATGGGCATAGCACCAAGCATCAAAACCGAAGGCGGCTGGATTGCGGGGGTCACGCTCGCCGCCGTGCCGTCCGCGGGGATCACCTACAGCAGAGGCTTGGACCAGTGGGACATCTCACCGCCAGAGCCCAAGGGCCGCGTGGCGATTGGCACACCCGCGGCCATCGGAAAGCAGGGCATCACCGTCGGCCCCGTGCACCTGCGGGTCAGCGAGGGCATGGCGGACAGGAACACGGCTATCCTGAGGAACTTCACCAACGCAGCGCATGCAGCGGGCCGAAAGTGGATCCTCGGGGGCGACTTCAACATGGACCCGACTGAGCTCGAGGAGTCAGGCGTGCTCAACAAGATGGGAGGGATGATCGTGTTCGACGCACACGGGGGGTCATGCACTACGATGGGGGTCAGTCGGCACAGGGGCTACTTCATCATCTCTAAGGCACTGGCCGACAGTGCCATCGCAGCGAAGGTGCAGGACCAATGCAACGTGGCGCCGCACGCGCCCGTCCTCCTGAATGTGCAGGGTCAGCTGGCACCACATTGGATACGAGTCCTGAGTTGGCTGAAGCGGCGGCCACTGGAGCTGCCAACGGGATGCGCATCAGGGTGGACAACCCGGCCGCGGCTACTCCGGGCAGAGCAGTGCGAGCAGACAGACATGGACGACTATTGGAGCCAGCTGGCGACGACCTAGGAAGATCACCTGAACAAAAACCACAACTTCGTCGGCGTAGGGCCCGACGAACGGAAAGGCCACCAGCAGCTTCCCACCTACGCTTGGGAGGTGCTGAAGGCGACTAAAGTGGAGGAGGCTCCGAGGGAGCAGGAGTGGGCCGAAGCGGCAGAGTGGCTTAGCAGAAGGCTGGGGCATATCGCCGCGGCTACGAGACAGCGGTGGGCTGCAGGCAAGAACGAGACCTTGGACTGGGCGCGCCGCAACGCCAAAGGCATCCTCGACAAGGCCATCATCACGCCGCTGCTGGAGCGGCACCATCCTGCCTGGAGCGACGGCCTCAAGCACAAGGCCGACAACGATGAGGGCGGCGACAACGACGACGACGATCACGGCATGATGGATATCGACAGACATGATCACCAAGTACCGATTAGAGGTGGACGACCCGAACCATCCAGAGAGTATTCCTCGGACCCCTGCTGTCCCTGGCCGAGGTGCCAAGCAGGACTGCCAGTTGGCAAGGGCGGAAGCGGCAAGAGAGCGACGCCTCCCGACGGGGCAGGGGCGGACGTGGCATACCATAGGCTGGGCCAAGCTGGTGAATGCGGTGGCCTGGACAGGCGTAGCCACGATCACAGACAGAGGTGTTCACTACATCGAGAGCGTGTCCAACAAGGGCTCCCAACTTCGCGCTTCGCGCTGCGCGAAGCGCGAAGTGCGAATAACTTCGCGCTCTCGCGCCGCCCTCCCAAAGGGAGAATAGGAGGACGAGGAGGAGGGGGAGGAGAAACGAGGACCGCGAAGCGCGAAGCGCGAATAACTTCGCGCCCTCGAGGGAGCCCTTGTCCAAGCTGCTGAAAGCAACAAGCAAACACACCTGGCGACGAGTGCGGCAGGCGCCAGCCAAGGAATGGCGCCGCTGGGTCGCCAAGAACAGCCATGCAGGAGCAGGGGCGCTGTACAGGTGGACCAAGCCACCAGTGCAATGGGGGCCGACTAAGCCGACGGATACGCACACAGCGATCGAGTTCCTGTGCCCGTAGGTGGCGGCGGACGCGGCGCTGGTGGGCTGGGAGAAGGCATGGGCTGACAACTACGACCCCGGCGAGCCGTGGTGCCAGGCCCCGACCAACCTGGAGCCGAACGGGTACGCGGTCCCGAGGATCACCCTCCATAAGGTTCCTGGACGCGCGTGGATGCTTCCTAGCCAACGCGGGCTTGGGCGGAGCGGACTGGCACCCGCGCCTTTGGCGACAAGGAGGCTATCACGGAGCAGCACGCGCGGCAAGCGTGCTGAACGCAGTGGAGAAGGGCGCGCAATGGCCGAGAAAGCGCAGGCGACTATCCTGTTCTACCTCATGGCAAAGCCTGCGGGAGGCTTCCGCAACCTGGGCCTCATCCCCGAGCTAGCGCGCGCTGGGGGGGGCATCCGCATCCCGCACGCGCGCCGCTGGGAGGCGGCCAACAAGAGAGCCCACGACTGGGCGCGCCGAGGGCGGTCCTCGGAGCGGGCTGCCTGGCTGCAAGCGCTGTACTGCGAGTCAGCGAGGGCAGAAGGATACGAGTATGCAGTGGCCTACTTCGACCTGGTCAAAAGCTTCGAGTGGGTCACGCACGGAAAGGTCTGGGAGGCGGCGAGGCGGTGGGACTTCAACCCCATCGTCATGCGGGTCGTCCCGCGCACCTACAGCATGGCCAGGCGCATCGTCCCAGACAGCAGCTACACCGACGGCAAGGCATGGCAGCGAGGCATCGTGGCAGGGAGCAGGTATGCCCCATTCTGCCTCAAGATGGTGAGCATCCTGGAGCTGGACGAGGGCGGGCACCTGCCTCTTCTTCGACGACCTCGCCATGACCACGCACGGAGTGCGCGAGTTCGTGAGGCCCTTCCACCTGCTGCTCATCGCGGCGGTGATCCACATGTTCGAGGAAAGACTGGACGTGGCAGTTTCGCGCGGCTCAGAGGGCAAGGCGGTCACCCTGGCCTCGTCCACCGAGCTTAGCACCAGCCTGAACGCCAGCTCCCGACGCCTGGGGGTACAAGTCGCCAAGCGCGAGAAGCACCCGGGCGTCACAACAGCAGCGGGCAGGAGAAGAAGGGTGACCGGCATCAGCAAGCGGGCACTCAAATTTGCAGCGAGGGCCTCACGGGTGGCAGCCGTGAGGCCGGCAGGAGGAGCAGCGCACAACATCGTCAGGCACGCCAAGGTACCAGCGCTACTCTACGGATCCTCAGTCGTCGGCATGGCGGACAGCAAGCTGAATGAGTTGAGGACGAGTGTGGCAATGGCGATGCAGGGCAACACGAAGGGGCGGTCCACACCGCTCACGCTGCTGAGCGACAACGTGGACCCTAGCAACCTGATCAACAGCGGGCCCATCCAAGCGTGGGCTACGGCGTGGCAGGAGGCGGCCCTCGACGAGCAATTGGCGAACAGGGTTAGCATGGCATCGAGAACGTGGGCCATGAAGCTCGCGCTGTGCAGGTCACCGTGGCTGACAGTATGAGGGCCAGCTGGAGCTTTCATTGCTACAGTGCGGCGATTGGGCTGGATGACGCAGTCAGCATGTCCTATCACAGTTGGCAGTACAGTCTACGACCTGCGGTATACCATATTGCAGGAGCTGCCCCACCTTGTCGCAACCACCACGGAGCAGCAGCTCAAGGATAGCTGGCTGCAGGAGCACGGGGGCGACTACGGCATCACGTCCACCTTCCTTGCACAGGCGCGGGCACTTTTGCAGCGGCCGCTGAAGGGACGGTGGACGCAGGCACACCGCACAGGAGTGCGAGTCCTGTTCTGTGGCGGCATGTGGCCACAGGCGCGCCTTGACGCCAAGGGGGCCGCGACGGACGACACATGCAGGGCTTGCCGGGCGGCGAAGGGGACGGATCGCCACAGGCACATACGAGAGCAAAGGGGTGGGCGACACATCGTGCAGAGAGGCGCCAACCCATGGCCAGGAGGACGTGCATCTGAGGGCCTATGGGGCCGCGGCATCACGGCGGACCCCGCAGAGGAGCTGAAATTGCGGGGCATCGAATCTTGCGACGAGTGGCTGCACGAGGGCGACTGGATAGGGCTCGCGACAGGTGACATCTACACGGACGGCTCCCTGCAGTACGGAGACTACCCCCCGCTGCGGAGAGCAGGCTGGAACTTCGCGAAACTCCGAGACGACAACGACATGTAATACGTGTGCTACGGGCCATTGCCAGGGCCACAGTGGACACAGAACATCATTTGGGGGTAACTCTACGCAGTGCAGCACGTGCTGAAGAACGGAGTACCCCCGCTGAGGATCTTCACGGACTGCTTGAACGTAATCAACGGCATCCTAGAGGGCCCCAGCAGGCTCGACAAGAAGGGCCTCCTGCACCTGGACCTCTGGGACGAGATTTTCAGGGCTCTGAGGGAGCTCGGGGGACTGAGCCACAGCGTGCAGGTCTTTAAAGTCAACGCTCACGCTTCGCGGGCCGAGAGGAAGAACATCGGCCGCGCGAGGTGAAGGGGCAACAAAATAGCTGATCAATACGCCAAGCAGGGGGCACTGTTTCATGCCCACCCCTCTTGGTGTAGAGAGACGTATATAGATGAGTATACGCCCGTTCGGGACACCCTCGAATTCGGAGCGTGCGTAGGAGTGTTGGGATGCGACATCGTCGACACCGAAAAGGGCTCGAGTCCGTCGTTGGATTCGAACCCCCCCCCGACCCCGCCCCGGAGCTTCTGGACCCCCCAAGGCCTCCTGGGAGACGCGGCCCCTCCCCCGACCCCTGACGGCCCCCCCCCCGCCGCGGGCCTTCCTGGACTTGGGGGCCGTCAGGGCCGACGAGGCAACGAGAGCGGGGCACAGACTCGTGTTCCGTCCGTCGCAGGTGCTCTGTCGTGAGTGGGCCTGGTACGCCCGCGACAGATGGCCGGGCCTACTTTCCCCATGTTGCCCCGGGGCCCAGAAGGGCGATCGGGGATATGACGAACCAACAACACACACCCATGTCCATAGGGGGGTCGGAGAGGGCTATGGGTGCGTGTTGCCGGATGGGGGTCCCCGCTCGAACGGGAGCGTTCCCCAGGGTCCGACAACCCGCATGCATACCCATGGCCAGTCCTGCTCCCAACGACCCCCCTATGGGTATGGCTATGTGTTGTTCGTTCGTCAGGATAGGCTCAAGAGACTCTGGCAGGGTACACATCCCACCACGGGAAAGACCCTTTGAGGCTGGCCCTCAGAGGGCACGGCAGCCTGGCTCGGCCTGGGGACGGCCCGGTGCGGGCAGGATGACCCGCGCGGCGCGATCCCATGGGGCACCGTGCTCGCTCGACCAGCAGGATCCAGCAGAACCCCCCTCGTCTCTTCTCGTCCCCCCTCCCCCCTCTCCAGACCTCTCCCATCCTTCCTTCCTCCATCCCTCCTCCCTCTCATATCTCCCAACCCCCTGGTTCCCCTCCTCCTCCTCCTCCTCCTCCTCCTCCTCCTCCTCCTCCTCCTCCTCCTCCTCCTCGCGGTGTGGAGAAATTGCGACGGCAGATGCTCGGCGACTTTCGGCATCCTCGGGAGCCCTTCCTGCGCCCGGGGACCGTCAACAAATCGTCTCAGGATGAAGAGCAAGTCCTGGGGAAGCGGTCCAGACCACCGTGGATACACCTTGTCAAAAGCACGAGGTTGAAGGCTGGGCCCTCCCTTGTCTCCACTCCGCACCTGCATTGCGCGAAGGGCTCCGCCGGAGGCGCCGCCAAGGGGGGCCAGCGCCGATACACGAGAGCCGCGCGAACCACCGAGAAAGTGCGTTTATGCAGCATTTTGTCTCTAACTCTCTGGGAGTGGTGGATGCCGATATGCTGCCGCACCGAAGGAGCGGGACGACATCCGCCTCCACCGCTGGCTCGGGGAGAAAAGGCACGGCTCCGAGGCGACAGATGTGGGTATGCTGCTGGCTCCCGTCGCCGACGTGGGCGCTGACTTCATGATATTGAATCGAACTCTATACATCGACGCTATTTCCGGCCCTGCATTGAAATTTGCACTGGAGAGCGGATCCTGGTGTATACGGATCCTGGTGTATACATTTTTTGATGTTCCTCCCCTGGGAAATGGGAAACAGGTATACACCACACCACCCCGACGTCGTCCCCGACCCTCGAAAAGTTCGGGGATTGAGGAAGAGCCCGCCGCTGGTAATGTATATGTTTCGGGGATGGACAGACCCCCTTTTAGTAAAACGTGGTTTAGTGACAACGACCTGAGGCCCAAAACTGGCGGGCGCAAGCCTGGAAAATAACGGCCACGGCGCCCTCTCGAGAACCGAAAACGGACAATTCACTAATCGACGTGTCACTGTTGGGGGTTCTGTCCACCCCCGAATATTCCAGTTGCCGACATGATTCCGCGAAGATCGGTCCACCTTTCGGGTCGGGCGATAGCAAAGGGGGGGTTTGAGAATCAGCTCACGTAGCTGATTTTTCCGGCGCCTCCCGGCGACAGAGGCGGCTATGTATCGAGGAATGGGCCCCTCGGTGAGGCCGAAACCAGCTGCATGCAGCAGATTTCGTAACCCCCCCTTTCGCAATCCCCCCATTTTGCCCGGCCCGAACCTTGCGCGACCTCCGACAGATATCCGACAGCAGTGGCGGTCATGCACCGCGCCAACGTCGCCGCCGCGTCGTCGCGGCGCGGGCCTGCCGTGGGGTGGGGCTCACTTCGCTCGGGAGCTCCCGAGCGGAGTGAACCTCGCCCTCCCCCCCAGGAATCGTGGGGGGTAGGGGTAGGGCTCGCATGTGGCCCCCTACTCTGAGATCCAGCGGCTCTGGAGGATGCAGTGGGCGCCGGGGCCGCTCCAGACCGCTCTCGTCTGAGAGCGTTCAAGAACGCCAACGGCAACCTGGGGGAGACTCGGCTTGGTGCGACGCTGGCCAACCCCGAGCCCGCACATCCCACGCCGTGATCTGTTTCGCAGCGTGGCCCACTAGGGGTCTGGACCCGTTCCCGGGAACTGGCTTTTCACTGGAATCATGCCGAATGGGGTCCGGGCAAATGGTGTCGGAGGAGAGCGTCGCATCGCCGATGCCCCTTCCCGGGAACTGGCTTTTCACTGGAATCATGCCGAATGGGGTCCGAGCAGATGGTGTCGGAGGAGAGCGTCGCATCGCCGATGCATCGGCGACGAAAATCGGGCTCCACATCTAGCCGCCAACCATCCTGCAGCAACTTGCGGGAGCCTCCCATACCATCCTCTTGGCTCTTGCGAGTCAACGCTATTCGACGCTAAATCGACACTCATCGATGCTACTCGACACAAAGTCGGCGCAATCCCATCGACTACCCAACGCCAATCGACGCTGGTGCACTCTAACAACGGGGGTGCGACGGTATACCAGGCTCCCGTGGCTTCCAAACAGCCCCATCTGTTCCGGCCTCACTCGGGAGGCCCGAGATCGTCATGAGTCACGAGCCGCTCCCTGGCGGCCCCGGGGCCGGGCAGGGGCCCCCCTGGCCACCGCTCGGACGCCCATTCCCTGTGTTTTCCTTCGGTTTCGTGCGTGGCTTTTTCGCCAAACGATCCAGGATGCTCCTCGATGGTCCTCCCCGAAGGGAACATGCACACGCCCGAGCGATGCCAAGCCAAGACAGACAGGCTTGAGCTGGATCGAGCCGGGACACCAGATCGGCCAGGGAGCGGCTCGAATCGGCAGCGAGCCACGCCGAAATCGGGTCGAGGCGCTGGGCCCCGGCCGGCCCGCGCCGAGGCCCGAGAGCCGAAGCGGATCGAATCGAGCCGGGATCGCAGGCCCAGCGGGCGGATCGGAGCCGAAGGACACATGCACGCGTCCGAGCGATGCCTGGCCCCGGGACGCCGAGGGTCCCCGAAGCAAATCCCTATACGACGTGTCACGGCGCGGAGATGTCAAGCTGCCGGGCCACAGCTCGGGCCCAGGGCGGCCCGTCGGCACGATCCGGGCACCCCGTGGGGAACTCTCGACGGGGCGCAGCCGCAGGGAGGAGAGGCGAGGGGGCATCAACAGCCAGCCTCGAACGCATCCCTACCCCTGAGGTGGGCGAGCAAAAAGCGAGGACAATCTTAGGGACAGGCCCTCAGAAACGGAGGGAATCCTTAGGATCGGCATCGAGGTGAGGTGATGTCAAACATAGGGATAGGGATATGTTCCAGGCTGGTAATTCAATAGGGAATCGAACTCTATGCACCGACGCGTCTTGCGGCCCTGCATTCGAATTCGCACGGGAGAGCGGATACTGGTGTGTACGGGACCCTGGTGTATTCATGTTTCGTTGCTTCCCCGGGACGTCGGGGACAAAAGCATACACCACACCACCCTGGCGTCGTCCTCGACCCCCAAGAAAGCCTGGGATGGAAAAACAGCCCGCCACTGGTAAAGTCTACGTTCCAGTTTCCGACGAAAACGCAGGGAGGGGCACGGGCAGAGGAGAACCAGGGCTGCCTGCGGGAGTTCCTACCGCCCGCCCGAAAAAAAAGACGCAGAACTGCC